TTATCTCGAACTATCTTATAGGTGATAAATAATATTTAAAATATTCTACGCACATGCACATACACAAAAAGAATAACTTATATTACGAGGATGAAATTATCTTTCGTCCAATAGATATAATGATAAGTTTTACGAGAGAGTCAGCACGAAAATTGCTGACGACCAGAACGATGCAATTCTGTCAGGCACCGCGGGGCATCGTGTGAAAAAAAACAGAGGAAAAACTATTAGTTCCGGCCGAGAGGGGGAGGGGGACGCGAGAGGTTCGCGGGGGTGAAGAAGGTACTTGTAGATGGAGAACGGCAGGGAGAGACTGGACTTCCCTCGCGAGAGAGCTCACCCTCGAAGGACTCGCGCGCCGCCTTTCACGCTCATTTCATAAATTCTAATTTATCGCCCGCGGAAAATTGGATCCGGCTAATCCCCGTGATCGATGCCGGCCTACGTTCACGTATCTTGTAACACGTCGATGCCCGTGATGCATTATCGTCGGCAGCACCTGGAAGAAAAATATTTCCACGGTTCTAATCGATTTCGCGGCTTGATTAAAAGGTGGGCTCTCTAAGCAAACGATGAATATAATTTCATTATGAAAAGAACTTGAGATTATGATTCCATGATATGTTGAGGCTATTTTGTTAGTTATTTATTAATTACAATAATCTCAGAAAAGTTATCTTTGCCACAAGAATGGGGGAAACATTTTATCTCTAGTCTATTCTAGCGTTAATAGATAATTTCATTCTCGTATTTATAATTGTTCATAAATTTATTATAAATGTAACAGTATACATATATATATATATATATATATATATCCTTTTGTAATTTAGATAAACAACAAAATATATATTAACGTAAGAATTTTAATTCTGCATAGAGTCGCAATTACAACAATCGCAAAGTGTTCGAAATGTTTTACGGAACATTTTAATGTGGATCCCAAAATTAACAAACACTTAGTGCTTCATATACCTATCGAGTGCTATCAGTTTTTAATATCGCTGTGACATATCGTTTCGTAACTGCATTTAGATGCCAACTACCCTTTAAAATAAGCGCCAGCATGACGAGATTGAGGGTAGTTAGCATGTATTCTTCGATTAGTCGTTTTCCCTTTGACTGTTTTTTTTCTCTTCCCAAGTAGTTTTTGTCTCATGCCGTGATAGTCGTCGTTTTTTCTGCGTCGGCCAATTTTCGGGTGTGCAAACACGGCCCATTGTCGTGGCGCACGCGCCCTTGCCGTTCTCCGTCTCGTTCCGTCGTCACAGGGGTAGCATGGCTCAGAACGCACCCTTTTTTCGCCCTATTCCTCCCGTCTCGCTCGCTCTTTACGCTTCGTGTTTCGTCTCTTTCCGTTGATTGTACGAACGGGATTTAAATATGCAAAGCGACTTTTTTTCAACGCCGCGTCTGCTTCTTCCCTTGTTTGGTCCGCCGCGCCCACATAATTACCGGGTGGCGGGAAAATAACGGACAAAAAACCGCGCGCGCGAGGAGCAAGCGAGCGGGACGCGGTGATGAGTTGGAAAAAAAAGATAAGAAAAAAGCCGAGCGAAAAAAAGCCGATATCACAATTAGACCGGCCGCACTACGGGGGGAGGCTGCGTAATGTCCCGCATAGCGGATAGAAAGGGGTGGTACGATTTAACCACGTGAGGGGTGCTTGCCGGAACTGTAAACTCTGACATTATGCTCGCCCGCTGAGTAGACTTTTTTTTATAGCGAATCACAAATCGACACACTTGTGTCTTGTTACGGAAAACTTTTTAGGTATGCGCGAGGATATTCCATTTGCTATATTTTTTTATACAGAACAAAACATATTTTGCTAAATTCATTCTGTTAAATAAATAGTTCAATTATGATATGATTCTTAAATGAATGCTTTTTCTATAAGAAGAATTAATCTACTAATCTTTTAATGATTTTTAAATGACGGTATATGCGATAAAATATGGAGAAAAATTAAAGATAATGTTAAATAAATAGTATACGACTTTTGTACACATGTGTGAATGTCATTTTGTAAAATCATATTATTATATTATTATATATTATTCCATAATTTGCTTTTTGACGTTACAAAAAATACAAAATAGGGAGTTTTTGCAATACCATCTTTCAGATACGGTAACCATATTTTAATTGTTCAGATACATATACAGTGAATGTATCTGAACAATTCAGATACGGTTACGGTATCTGAAAGACGGTATTGCAAAAACTCTAATATTATGCATGACTTCACTTTTAACGACAAATCTTATTTATTCATCCTTTATTCTAATATTATTTCATATAGAGATAAATTTGATCATAGAATTACAATACACATATTACATTACAAGAATTTTAATGGAAACATAAACGATATTATTAGTTAGCGTTATATTCGATTTGTCTGCAGAAATCATTATCTTTTCTATCGATTATTCAACCGTTTCTATTATCCATTCTCCTTAGGTCCATATTGCCTTTCTTCTCTTTAAATTGTCGCTGTTAAAAAAAAATCGCGATATGTATCACTGGGATTTTCAAGTGGTCGGTCCGAGAGAAATGTTTCGTGCGAGAAATTAATGTACAAGGTGTGTCGCGTGGATTAGTCTCATTATTATTCCCCCGAGCGAGGCGACGTCGTGCCTCAGGGTGGTAAAAAAGAAGAGGAAAAAAACGTCTTGGAAGATTAACGAGCGAGCAGCCCTTATGAGCCATCTCGACGCCTCGAAAACCGCGAGTGAGAGGGACGAGAGATAGAGAGAAAGAGACGAGGGGTAGCGAGAGAGGAAGGAGGCGAAAGAAAAGATGGATTGCGAGGAGGAATTGGATATCGCAATTAAACAGTCCGCCAACCTTACAAATTGGAGGTTGAATTTTTTTCTTACTTTAGGATCACCATCAGGCGTTGCTGCAGCCCTTAAAACATCGCGAACGAAGAAGGGGTGCGGAGAGAGCGGGTGCTCTCGTGGTACGGAAAAAAAATCCATAGGGGTCCCTCTGCGCTCATCTCTCTCGCACCGCAGCATCCAGCTCGAAAAAAAGAGGGTGAAGCCAAAGCGAGTTGTGCGTGGCGTCAGGGGATGAGCGGAGGGGAAACTTACAAGGGTGGTGCTGATGGTGGTGGCGGTCGTGCTAAAGGCAAAACAAAAGCTGGGCGACATTCTCGGACGCCTTCGGAAACATGGCCGCTCGAGAGAGAACGTAGAAAGGAATTGCGATTGTCAAATTGACTGAGATCGATGATTTTTAAAACAGATGCGTCAAACGATAAAAATTATTTACGATAGTCGAGCAGATGGTTTCATTAGTTTAGGTTTCATAAAAAGAGCGGAGGATATAAAAGAAATTTTATTATAGGATTATATACAATACACAGATTGAAAGAATAATAGAATAATTTTGAATTTTTTTGTAAAATATATGAGAATCTGTATATGACAGTAAAAAAATAATTGATTATTAGTAACTTCACGAAAATACGATGTAATTATTTTAACAATCTGTTTCTCTCAGAACATTGCAAAGTTACGTTTTAATTTTTTATTAGAGAAATATGAATAATTAGGAATATTAAAAAATCACACATTTAATACAAATTAATGTGAAGAAACTTAATGTAATGTAATGTTAAAAACAGGCTACTTATATAAGTTAGTCATAACATATTATTACTTAATTTATGATGAATGTAATAATGAGGTGATTATAATTAATTATGATGAATGTAGTTTATAATAATGAACATGTAGACACAATATTAGATTATACAGCATCCGAGAGTAATCAATTTAAAAATATCATTCGCCAATTCACATAAGAGAACCACGCGATCCTATACAAGATTAGAAACTATCTTGATCAAACTTTTTTTGCAGCGGGCCAATAATTAAAAATTTATCTCCGCTGTGGCTTGCATTTATAATGGCAAAAAATCCATAGTGAGCGACCGCGCCCATCATATATAATAGATGGTCTCCCCTTCTCGGTCAACCTTCTCTCATCTCATTTCGCCGGTTCGACCAACCTCCACCTTCCGCTTCCATCCCTCCGGCCTCCCCCGAGCACCACCCACAGACTCCAGCCCGCTTTCAATCAATATTTAAAGAATTGCGCCTTAATAACCGTCGTGGCGTCACGTAATGGCGGGCTTCGGCTCTGATGCGTCACCTCTTATAAGGGTCACGAATCTTTCTGCCTGTTCTCCCTCCTAAAGCTTTGCTCTTGTGAGTTATCGACTGATAATAATCAGATGCAACTGTACACGATATTGTTAATCGTTGATAACATTTCATCAATTATTGATAAGACAGTTCTCATATAAAGATTCTATATATAGAATTATCTTATCTATTTCAAGTTATGTAATTTTAAAAATGCGCATCTCTTTTATTATGAAAAAGAAAAGTTATAAAACAACAAAAAAGGTAAAAAAGATATTTTATGTTTACATACGCGCCTGAAAGTATGTGAACATATTGTTATCTTCAGACAAATACATTTTTAGATGTTATAAATTTGATTGTAAGTTTTAAAATTTAATGTAAAAAGTTATCTTTTAAAATTTTTTCATAATTGTTTCTCTCGAATAAAATTTTTTCGTAATTGTTTCTTTGTATGTAAAATATAACATACATTTGGATCGTGTGTGATGCATTGAAAAAAAATATATGAAAATAAAACGGTTTTGCTAAAATGTATAAAAATTGTACCAGATACAGATTTGAAAGTAATTATGTTGGACATCTAAATAATTACATTGGACGCTCAAGCTAGTTAAACTTTTTTGCAATATTATCTCTGTTTCATCACGCTTAGCATGTTATTATAAATCAGCATTATAAATCAATAATGCATGATAGGAAGAAAATTCCTCGTGAGAACAGTTGCACATGATGTTTATCGCAACGCAAATATGCGCGTTTGAAAGGAACTGATTCATCGGAATAATAATTACTGAAATAATTATAGGCTCTATGCATTTCAGGGGATTTTAATTTAATTCAAGTACAGTTTGCGCACGTGCGCGCGTGTAATACGTGCGATAATAATATTTCTCGTGTTAATTGACATTGAATAACGTTACAAAATGAAGCATACAATGAACGGCACTTAAAAATAACTAAATACTGTGTCTCGTTTTTTCCCTTAATAATTACCAAGGCAATAAGTCTGGGCACTTGTCGATGGAGTGCCAATGTAACAGCAATACCTGTAGATGTAGATAATACGTCATAACAATCTGTATATACAGTATTTGAGTGTGTCTGAGGTTTCCCTACTAATAAACGTTTCACGGTAAAATCTTACGTAAACGTGTGTTCTTCGATTACGTGTACTTTCACACAAGGTTCCACATTATGGTCGGCAAGCAGTCTTCAAGGTATTAATCTCTAAAACGCGCAAGAAGATGTTTTGTGCTAAAGTCAGTTCGAAAACTCCTGTAAGATTTTTCCTGATATTTACGTCATATGTATATATAAAAACCGTCTTAAATGTCTTTATCATAAATCTTTTTTGTTAGTACGACAGTAAAAATTTGCAATATCTGAGGATTGTTTTATTAGTCCGGTATCTTCAAAAATCCGATAAAAATTTTAAAAATTATATACAAAACTGATCGAAAACTGGTCAAGTAAGTGAAACATAATATTCTATAATTTATAACAAATGTAATTTGAAGTTTATAATTAATTATTTAAGAATGTGTTAAAAAACCGTGACGAAATTTTTGATGCAGCAAACTTTGCAACTTAATGTTGCATCGATTGGATGAACAAAATATTACAAATTTTCGAGGATTAATCTGCGTTTGGCGGATCTTTCTGCATTAATATATAAACAATGACGTAATACCGCTGAGATATATCGCGGCACGTGTGATTTCGCTCGTTACTATTATTAGAATTTTTGTAGCATTATTCGTAATGAGAATATTAATAATATAATGATACAATCACATAATATATAATAATAATAAATCACATCTTTGACATTCTTATAGCTTTACTATACACTAAAAGCATCTTTGGTTTTTTTAATTCTTGAATCACGCAAAAAGATTGTAAAATGATTTTAGATTTTAATAATCAACCCAAATCATCCGCAATAATATTTGATACTTTCCAAACATTGGGTTACCGATGAAATGAGATTATCGAGATTATACATACTCGGTGATCCGGCAGTATTCGACTCTGCAATTCACAGTCTCACAATCCACCCTCTCGCCCGCCATTCAACAAAGAAAACAAGAGCTAAAAATCTCCATAATATCCATAACGTGATTAAAGCTCTCTTCGTAACATCTCCAAATGTCCACAATTCATGTTACCTTAAATACACTATGATATGCTCTAATTAACTTTTCATCCCGTATAATTAACTTTTCATCCGGCCGGAAATCATGTCAAGTGACGACTTTGGTTGAAACACTGCACCAAAGGAAACATTGGCTATGGGGAACAATCTGTGGCCATAAAAATCTATTGTAGCTTCTATCTAACTTTCCTTGTCGTTGAGAAATTCCGCGAATTGAGGATCCGCGAGGTTCGCTATCGGGAGACATTAATGCCAACAAACGTTTAATCAAAATGATGAATAAATCACGGAAGATTTGCAGATTCGACAATGCCTCGCTGGCAATAATCGTTTTGCGGTATAATAATAATATCAGTAATGATAATAATAATCGCACACGTGTGTTCGCAGACGATCATAGGAAAAGGAACGCGCAATTGATCGTTCTGCCGAAGTCGATCATTACGTTACCGTGTTACTTAACGATTGTTGTTCGAGGACTTCAAGTCGCTCGGCAGTTTTCGGGCAGCTTTTGACATAGAGCTTTCCGAAGATACGCGTGGTCCACCATTCGCGTGTAAGAAGGAAGCTCGACTGACGCGGGTCGCACTTTTAAGCGCGAACGAAAGATTCTTGGACCTACGTTCGGTTACAAAAACGGTCGTTCGGAACGATACCGCTCGAAAAGTGTCTGAAGGAAGTGCGGCCAGCAGTCTCAGCTTCTGATACAGCAACCGCGTTGCTTCGGTAATCATGCGGCAAGCAGATTCTTTATGTTCTTCGGCGTGTTCTCCTCGTTCAAGTGCTTCGTGGTGTAGCGAAGGGCGTTCAGAAGGCCCTCGCTCTTGCAAGGCGGCTGGTCCTTTAATAGCTTCACACAGCCTTTGACCTGTTGGATTTAGACCACACATGAAATCGAAGGAATATAGACGAAAGGAGATTCTTATCTGCGGCTTCTTACAACGAATATTTTTCTATAATATTTTATCTTCAAAATTAATTGTTTTTCAGTATTTTAACTTGGATGTTACAACAGTTTCAGTAGTTGTTATTATTTATATAAATATACATATACAGATATAGAAAACGGAATTAGGATTTTTAACATTAATTAACCAATTTTTTTTTCTAAAATATTACGCCAAAATTTTTTCCGATACTTACATCCACATTCGAACCCTTTACAAAGGCACCTTGGGGATGTACATGATCGTAGAGGATCACCAGACCCACCATAACCCTTAAGACAAAGAGTTGAGTCTCTTCTCGTTGGAATTGCGCCAGCAGATTCCTGGTAGAAGATATTTCCCAAATTAGCTTCACGAAGAAATTCCTACCTCCCTTGAGGCAAGACTCTCTCTTTGCATATTGATGGAAATAATACTTACGGATTTTCCAACATTCGAAGACACACTTTTGCCATTGTACCAAGCGTTTCTGTAATGTTTTCCCTTGCTATATCTTCATTCTAAAAAAAAAAAAAAAATAAAACAGTTTTGTAAGCAATAAATATATCGTTGGAAACGGTAACTTTACTATCCTAACAAATATTTTTTATATAAATTTTTTGATATCTGTTGGAAAATTCTGCATGTAATAGGCATCATGTTACCATGAAATACATATGTGTATAAATTGAAGATGGTCTTTATTATTGGATTATTATTTCGTTATCGATTTTAATTAAAAGCTTGCATATACATCATGCCGTATTTATTTCTCTGGCTGATGTAGCCCATATAGAGCGCTCGGGTAATTTGAATCGCAGACCAGGATACCTGTCAATTTTCCAGTTCAGCAGAGCCATTATTCTCGTCGGCAATTTTTTTTCCCGTCTTGCCATTACATCGCATGTCGATCACGTAACGCGGTTATTTGTCATCCATAATCAATACGAACGAAAGCCCGCGATTCATTGTAACATTGTTGAAAAAGTCTTCGTGCTGAGGTGATTGATAAAAAATGTCTTGCAAAAAATGTTTTAACGAGATAGATAGGATTTAAAATATTTCCGCTATATTTTATATTTACCTTTCTATTTTATAACATCAAAAATGTAAAATTGTATTGTTTATCAGATTCAATCTAAAAAACCTTACATTTCTTTATAGATAATTTTTAATATAAATTTTAACAAAAAATCATCAAGATAATATTTCGCGATATTTTAAAATACGATCGATCGAGAAATATTATCGTTTAGTTTTAATATATCGTTTAATTGTGATGAAATCAATAGTTTTACGAAAACAGGGTTACAGGAACTAGATTTAGTTCTCCAATCGATCGGAATGATTAAGGGAGATATACCGAGAAACCGCGCCTGGATACCGCGGAATTTCGTCTAATTGCCAGTTAGCATCTGGCCGGATCAATAATTGTCCGGGTAACAATGGGAGGTCGCGCGGACGGGAACAATGTAGAGAGGCGATACCACTTACGTCCATCAAGAAAGTAATGGTCGCGTGACTCAGAACTCGAAGCATGGGTGTCGCGTGGGCGTAAAACAAGGACATTCGGTTGGCGAGTTCGTTCCCGACAACTAGGTCCTTTTCGGCGTTGTCCTGGCGCGCCAGCGATGCCCTCGTCAATGTTCTACGATAGTAGCTGAAATCATTCTGAATCGCCGGCGTTTTCATCTTGTGCTCGTCAAACTTCAATACAAATTCCAATATCTCCGCCAATTGCTTGACTAGCGCCTGCTGCGTCTCCAGATGTTGGGTCGGTGAAAGGTTTCCCGAGCACAATTGTCCCAAAATTTTCGGCACGACCCTTTCTACATTTACATATAATAAATATATAAAAATTATTACCAATTTTAATATCCAAATTTAATTATGCGAAGTAGAAATTTGCAGTAATTTTAAACAAAATACGTGCAATAATTAGTCGATATTCATACATGTAATATAATACAATATGTAATATAATACATTATGTAACCCAAAAACAGTATAACATATAACGTGATAATATGGAGAATTAATAGTTAAATATAACAATAATAAGAAACAAATAAATAGCTAATCAATAATTTAAATTTAACGTTGTCAGGAATGACTTCTTTTAACCAAATTATTACCAAATAATAATATCAAAATATGAAAATGTAGAAGCTTAAATATTGCATTTTTACTACTCTACGTGACGTTGCTAAGAAAAATATTTACGAAAAATATGTCGGATCTCGAGATCAGTACTGTTCTAAAATACTTCTCCGCGTTTTGCATGTTTCATAACCACCTGTACCTAATATAATTAAAAGTTTATGCCACAAATATGACTAAAAGTATTTCTCGGATACATGGTGAAGCATTCTCAGATGAAGTTTTCCCAATATTCGCACCGATATCGAGCTTCCGAGAAGCATACCCTCGTGTAATATCGTTATTTATAAAAAGAACTTAGCGTCAATGTGATTAATGAAACGTACCAAGTTCCAAGGAAAACTCATAGAATCGTTTGAGTTTTGCGACGAGAGGTGCCACGGTCAGGTATGCTTTTCGTTGACATTCCTCCGTGGGTGCCGAAATCGCCTCTCTGATTTCTTTCCCGGCTCCTTTGTAACATTGTATCTCCTCTAAAATGGACTCCGAATTTTTCAGTACTCTTTGCACCGCCTCGAATGTCTCGCGTTCGAGGTCCGACGGTTGTGCGTCTGTAAAACAGACAAATAGGACAGTCCGATAATTATCGACTCACATATGTCTCTTTACTATACACAGAAGGTTTTGTTACGTCTCGCTATTATAAAAGAATTATATTTATTTTTTTATCGTGTAGAATTGTACGTTATTTTGTAGAATTTGATTAATATTTTTATCAAATATCTACATATTATGAAATCGAATTATATATATTATGCAAAATATTAATACACAATAAGTAATGCGAAAAATGGCACTTAGAATTAAGGTTAAAATTTCGCGAAAAAATCATTTGTACTCACTTTCGAAATCCAAGAAGACATCGTACTTCTGAGGGGTGCAACAGGTAGACTCATCTCGAGCCAAAAGACTCAAAAGCTTGCCCATCGTAAGTGTACAGCTTCTTTCGACGAGAGCCACTTTACAACGTGAAAGGCATCTGCAAGTCAAAGCATTTTACATGATGTAAGTTTTCATGTGATTCGACTAACAAATAATCATTTAATCATAGTGTGGCACTTATTATAATACTGCAACATTATTCAAGAATATTTTTTTAAAGTCGTAGTTATTTTAACCAATTTAGAAACAGATAGTGACTATAGTGAGTATATAAGTGAGTGGAAACAAAACGCTTGTCATATGAAGTTAACTTTCAAGACTTTATCACTCGATATCGTACGGTAGATTGAATCCTCGATATTGTTCATTAAATCTAATTCTTTCGAAATTCCGGATTTAAATTCATCAATAGATTTAAGACTGGATATATGATCATTGTAATTCTCTGTTTAAAAACTCGATTCGAAATATGTTGGAAACACTGAAATTAAGCCCGGAAATTCTAGAAAATTCCACGTATAGAAACAATTCTAGCATAATATATAAACAGATACTTTTCTTGGTAAAAGCACAAGGAGAGCTCACTGCAGGATTATACCTCGTAGATACTCGCAGAATACTTGAAATATTAATCCGCGACGAATGCAAACTACGGACGGACGGTTTAATATGATTGAGTTTCTGTTCGAGCTTCAACCGACGAGTGGTAACTTGTCACTAGTCCGAGACTACAATGAAATTGAAATTTCAAGCTGTAGTCCGAACGTATATATTCACTCGGTATTACATATATGTCGAACCATTAATTCCGGATAGGCGACACACGCGCACGCCTGGACAGCGCGGATTAACGCGTATCCGCATCGATACCGCGAAATAAATGGATTCTGCGAACTCGTCGGCTGGGAGATGAATCCCGTTGATCAGTTTCCTCGAACGGAACAACCCTCCCTTACCTGAAGCGTTCGCGAAAGGGTTCCATTCGGCTGTTCGCATCGACCAGGACACCGAGGATGACTCACGTGAGAACGTCGCGATCGCGTTTTACGCCGCGCGGGACCCGACGAGAGAGCACCACGTCCGGGAGGACCGAGCTCACCCTTGTCACTTGCGCACGAGAGGACTTGCGATCGGCTTTACGGTTTCTAAAATTGCGAACGGCGGGATTCCACCGTTCCGCCGTACCGGCCGCGTTATTTTCGGCCCGAAAGTACATTTCGTGCTTGTCATCTTCGGTCACCGAGCCTCTCGGTTTCTCTCGGGGAAAATTATCGCATACTGCGCGAAGATTGGGCTGCTGAAGTTTCGTATAATTACGCTGATAGTTTTCACGATGAATCGACTTGAAATGTGATTTGAATTTAATCGACGCAATCCGATCTTAACAGCCGAGCTTGTTTGGAAGAACAGTTATGAAAAGAGCAAGAACTGGTTTTTCCAGTCAGTGACAAACTTGATATCGTTTCATTAAAATTTCCATCTGAAAGTTGATATTAAAAGATCATAAATACGCCCACTTTATAGCTGATGAGAAATTCTTTTCTGTTAAAATAATAATCGAATCGCCGAGATCTTGAGACGATTGAAAAGCTGGACTTTAGGACGTATATAAATTTCTCAAGTATTTATATACTTCTAAAAAGAATTGATTAAATAATGAGCAATATATTGTGGTATAAATATATGCTACGTACAGATTTATATAAAAATGATATATTGCTAATAATAATAATATCGCTGTACCGATTGCTTTACCAACGGTAAAATACATAACACATTTCATCAATAACTGCGGACAATATCGATGTGCAACGTAAATAGCCGTCGAGCTGCAATGTAAAATAAATGTTTGCGTTTGACATTCCACTGGAACAATTTGAAACAAGGGCGTGGTATTTGTTGCGATATTTGCTTGTATGAAATTATTCATGTTTCTTTTTATCCGCGTATTTACCCTTTCCCCTCCCCTCCCCGCAACATATGCTTTTAATAAATATCAAAATGTGCGCTTTTAAAAACATATCTACGTCTTTAAATCGTAAACAAAAGCATATATTCTAACAATAATTGCGAAAAAAACAATCTAATTATCAACTTTCTAATTATCAGTAGAAAGGATTGCGCTCTTTAAAAAAGTTTCAGAATTATATTAAGCTTTTCCGTAATAAACATAAAACATGATAGAAGTGGAGAAAATTAATGATATCAAAAGTCATCTTTTGTAGCTGAAAGAAAATTTTTTACTATAAAATTTCAAAGCCTTATCGTACTGCAATTAAAAACGCACTTGCTGCATATTGTTTACATGAATTATTAACGAGTTCCATGACGTCTCTAACTACGGCGTTAATATTCACAATAAGAGTACTATGTGTTTGCGGATCCCAACCTAACGCGACATTCTCATATCATTACGCTAAAACAACAAACCGGCAACTCATTCAAAATAGTTTTCCCAACATTCGATGCCAGAATTCTTGTGCATTCGCAAACGAGGAATATAGAGTTCAAAGAACCTGCATGCACATAAAAAACTTCAAGCGTCTCTCTGATTGATTGATAATACAACAAAATCATTGCGCACATATAATTTTTAGATTATAATTACAGTATCATGTAAAAATCTCGACCTCCAAGATACCACGTTTTAATTCTTACGTATAAATAGCTATGATATAAATGACAGATCAATTTTTCAAAAGATGGGTATTCAAACAAATCCGGCTTGAAAGCTTAGTTTCATTAACGCCGGCTATATTTAACTATTATCTTCATTTCTTGTGTAGGTATTAGAAATGGATGGAAAGTAAAGTTTAGCTTAGTTTAACTGTTAACTGACGTAATTTAAAGTTAACTAACGTAAACAAAAACAGGAACGTTAAGGAATAACGTCGCTGGATCAAATAATATTTACAGTGTCACAGATTGACGAGGTCGTTGCGATGTTTTCCATCTACTTTCACACGAGCGTTATAGGCTCGCTGTCAGGAACTCGAATCGTGGGGGTCGAATCTTGGCAGCAGGCTTTTACGAGGACACGCCGAGAATTCCGAGCGGCGTTAATCGCGTGACGTTTGACAGGCTCACGGTCGCGAAATCGCGGCGTAATCGGCGCCGACGGCGCGAACACATGACGGCGACAGGTGCACGCCGAATGGGACGCCGGTGGGAGCGTCACGGGGTCAACGAGCACGCGAGACGGGTGCAACAACTGTCATCCGGTGGCCGGCCATGTTGTAGGTCGGGGGGTTGCTCGTGCTAGGAGCGCGAGTCCTTCCCTTATTTGGTAAAACGGCGGCGGCGGCGGCGGCGGCAAGCTCGTGCGCGCGGAAAATCGATGGGGGGTTGCTTTGTGGCGAGGGTAGCGAGATGGCGCTTGAACGGGGGGGTTGCCGAACGAGTATCGAAATATCGCTCTCGTGTAAATTTAGAAGCTGCAAAACAAAAGGTAGCGAGGGACGATTTATCGAACGCAGGAGAAGACAATTCGATAGATACGAGAGAAGATCGGAGATCGATAACGGAGGGAGTCAGGGGAGAAATCACGATCCGGAAAGTTACGGAGGGGACTGTGAGCCATTCCAATATCGATATCAAGATATATTTCAGAGGCTTCTCCCCGTGAATCTGTCACGATAAATTGCAGAACTTATTTAGACGGCCACTTTACTTTAACCGCTGAGCCAGAGGGTCTCCGCCTAGAATTTTTATTCTAACTTTCATAGAGGAACAATCTTTCAAACTAGAAACGTATTTGCAACCTGATATAAAAGCAGAAATCTTGATCAAAATTTTATACAATGTTAAAAAGAAGAAATTTTTTTATTAAGATGGCTTTATTTATATTAAAAAATTGTATAATTTGTATTTGATGTTAAATTTGATAAATAATCTAAGATTGAATATTTTCCTTTCCTTTTGAGAACGCAGAGCGTGATGTACGCAGCCTCTGCGGTTCTTTCTCGCTAATCCTCAAATCGATATCTTAATTTCAATCTCGCGATATCTTAGTTTCAATTAAAAGATCAATTTCAATATTTATTCAAAAGTTGTTTCAAGCAAGTTCAACATTGCCACGACAAAACTCGCAGGCATTCAAACACGTGTCAAATGTGCATCCATCTATTTAGTGAAGATACTCTGTTTTGCGATCAGTGTGCTTTCACGTAATGAAATATCTTTGATACGAGAGAAATGGTAGCGTGCACAATAACTGCAAATAGTAGAATACACAACGGAAACGTTTCGAAACCTGGGGCGCAGTTTCGTACACATTATCGATTCTACGGCGTATACAATGGATTGATTCGCCGTCCAATCCGAAAGAACTGATATCCCTCACGAGACCGTTATCCCAGATAATAATAAGATTGATACACGTGCGGGAGATGGGTATAAATGCCGAGTGGTCGATACCACGTGCCTTGCACTATTACTATCGGCACTAATACTACTACTTACTCATTTCACGGACCAACAGGGTGACGCCGACGTCACGTAAGGGTGACCGACGTCGCTCGGGGTGGACCGAGTCGCTCAGGGGGAAGATAATCGAATTAGCATTCGCGTCGTTCGGCATCGCACTAGCTCGCACCGATGCCTTTGTGGGTCAACGCTCGTCGTATATAAACAGACGTCTTCGACGTGACCGATTTCGATTTTTCATGCCCTACGGAAATCCTGCGGTAGCAATCTCCCACCGGGTGCTCTATGACCATTAACTTCTCCGTTATAATTGATCGAAGTTCGATTCCATTTCTCACGCGACAAAGGGAATTATAGAGAAAGCTTTTATAAATAGAATCCGAGCGTCAATCGAATGAAAGAGAAACTAATTCAAAAAGAGAATCTTTGTAAAATAAATGTCTAATGACTTATGATTTAATATGACTTGTGTCATTTATAAATGTAATTTGCAACGTTAATCGCAAGTCCTTAAGTATCGTAGATTTAAAAAAACAGTGAATTAATCACATTTGTACAAATCTAAAATAACACAAAGAAATATATAATAAATACATAATTTTAAATCTATGTAAAGAGGTAATTAGACTGGTATTTTATTATTTTATTCTGCATAAGCGGTTCTTATAAAAG